GTAGAGGTAGGGTTTCACCATGATGGCCAGGCTGGTCTCGAACTCCTGACCTCAGGTGATCCACCTGCCTCGGCCTCCCAAAGTGCTGGGATTACAGGCATGAGCCACCCCACCTGGCTGTATGTGGAATTTTATCAGGTTTTTTTTGGTGTGAATTAAGATATGATCATTTGGCTTTTGTCCTTTATCCTGTTAATGTGGTGTATTGATTGATTTTCATATGTTGAACCATCCTTGCATTTGAGGAACTAATCTCACTTTGTCCTGATGTATAATTCTTTTGATATGATGCAAATTTGATTTACTAGTATTTTGCATCAGTGTTCATAAGGAATATCGTAGTTTTCTTGTAGTGCCCTTTTCTGGCTTTGGTATCAAGGTAATGCAGTCCTCATAGAGTGAATTAGAAAGTGTTCTCTCCACTTGAAAAGTTTGAGGACAGGTGTTAACTCTTCTTTAAATGTTTGGTAGACCTCATTGCCAGGAAATGAAAAACCACCACCAGCAAATAAATGTTTGGTAGAAGTTACCAGCAAAGCCATCTGGTCTGGGCTTTTCTTTGTTGAGGGGTAGGTCTGACTCCATGTTGTAGATGAGGTAACACAGCAAAGCCTCCTCCAAGGTTGCTCAAGGTCACGTAGGCAGAAAGGTGAAGCCAAGATTTGGGACTGGGTTTCTGTGGAGAAGTACATCAAGCAAATGAGCCTCCTTCCTTTCTCTAGCTCCATCCCTGCTGTGTGCAGCAAGGGGCCGAAGTTTATATCCTGGTATGGAAGGAATGTACAGCTCACCCCAGTCTGTGTCCATATAGTCCTCCTCCTCCATGGGGGCAGAAGAGGGTCTGGGGCGCAGGCTGCCATGGCCCCTGGAGTGTGAGAGGTGGCAGTGGGGGGCAAGTGGGTCAGACCTATGTCTCCCTGTCTGTCCTGGTCTGGAAGAGGCTACATGGGAGGTGAGAGACAGCAGCTATCCTCATTCAGCCACCTCTGTCCCCCAGGGGAGTGCCTAGGTGGCCAGAAAGAACCTCCTCTGGGCTTTAGCCCATGCTGCTTAGGTGTGGGCTCCCTTCGGGATTGTCTGCATGTGTACCTCACATTCTCATGTTTGTGTGATGGATGATGTGCACAAGCCTGCCCATTCTGGGTGGAATCCTCCTGTGCTTGAGAGTCTAACACACTTCTAATAACTCGTGAGAAAGACAAAATTATAAAGGAACTTTTCAAATACTTATAACTGAAGGATAATAAAAATACTGCATAGTAAAATGTATAGAATGTAGTTAAAGTTGATTATATACAGAGAAATGTATAGCCTTTTAAAGACAGACTGGACGAGAAGGATACAAATCAATGAGTTAAGCTTCCAACTTAAGGACAAAAGAGGCCAGGCGTGGTGGCTCACACCTGTAATCCTAGCACTTTGGGAGGCTGAGGCAGGCAAATCACCTGAGGTCAGGAGTTTGAGACCAGCCCGACCAACATGGCAAAAACCCGTCTCTACTAAAACTACAAAAATTAGCTGGGCATGGTGGCAGGTGACTGTAATCCCAGTTACTCAGGAGGCTGAGGCAGGAGAATTGCTTGAATCCAGGAGGCAGAGATTGCAGTGAGCCGAGACTACGCCACTGCACTCCAGCCTGGGCGACACAGCGAGACTCCATCTCAAAACAAAAAAAAACAAAGAAAAAGAACAAACCCACAGAAAGTAGAAAGAAGATTATTATTCACATTGGGGTGGGTTGGAGCAGAGACAGAAAGACACCCACAGGCAGAGGATGGAAGTGCTCAGTGGCTATTTGAAGAAGCTCCGTAACAGAGATGAGCCTCAGGAAAATGCCTGAAACTTTCCTGGCTGCCCAGAGACTGGGCTCCTGAGGAGTTAGGAGCCACCTTTAGGAAGAGTTTCCCTCTGCTTTGTGGTTCAGCTGACCGGAGAAAACCATCTAAGAACTGTCTTCTGTCCTCTGTCTATCCAGGACTTGTTTTTTAAGTACACCTGGAATAACTTTTTGCACTTCCAAGTGGAACTATGCATAGCCGCTATTCTCTCCCATGCTGCCCGTGAGGAGAGAACAGAAGCCAGCGGATCCGACAGCAGGGTGGAGCCTCCGCATGAGAATGAGAACCGGAGCCTGGAGACCCCCCAGCTTGCTACCAGTCCCCCTGACAACACGATGGTGACCCATGTGAGTCCCAGCAGCATCCAGTTCGTCGGCACGGGCTGCACCCCACTCAGACCATGTCCATGTCAGCATTGACGGGTGCAGCTGACCGGAGGCAGGGCTTGGAAAAGGGTCCCCAGGTGTCTAGTCAGAGACTCATAGACAATGGGGCTTGAGTGGGTCCTGCGGGTCTCATTCTCACCCGCCTTTAGCAGGGGTCCTGGGTGCCTTCTGTGTGCAGGGCTGGCAGGAGTGAGCACTGGGTGGATTGGGTCCAGTCTGGCCTGCAGCTGGAGGCCCAAGGAATAAACCCCAGGGGCCAGTAGTGTCAGTAATGGGAGCCACATGATGGGGAGGGTGGTGTTCAGGGACATGCAGGCCAACCAGGGACCCTCACGCAGATAGCAAGGCCACAGGCATGTTGCAGTGTGAGGAAAAACATCCCAGGTACAAGAAATGGTCTGTGTCAGGGCCTGGAGGTGAGAAAGTGCTGACAGCCATAGTAGTTCCTTCTGGACACGGAGGAAGGGGTGGGGGAGTGGCCAGAGTGGGGGGCAGTGGAGAGACAGAGAGGAGGCCCAGGGGGAGACAGGGTCCGGGGCAATTCCAGGGATTGGAGAAGGGAGAGGGTCCTTTTCTCAGGCTTCACCTTCAGGGTGCTCAGCAGTATGAGCCCGAGCAGCACTCTCCTCTGGTGTTTGGTGAGGACCACGGAGGCTGGGGCTGGGCGTGTGCAGCAGGTACAGGGCAGAGTCCCCACAGACTCTGTGGCTGCATCCAGCTCTGCCCAGTCTGGGGATGGGTGGAGGAGAGCACGTGCCTCCCTCAAACCCTGCCTTGCGCTGCCTGCCCCCAGCTGTTCCAGAAGTGCTGCCTGGTGCAGAGGATCCTAGAGGCCTGGGAAGCCAACGACCACACGCAGTAAGAGCCGCTCGGACACAGAGGGACCCAGCCTGGTCAGTCAGGGACGCGGAGACGCATGTCACCCAGGCGTGGGTGATGCTGCGTGCAGGACCGCAGGCTTGGGTGCAGCGTCGGGTGTGCCACGCAGCTCCACGCTCTGCGGCCGCTGTAGAAGGGGCCCTCCCTGCTGGGCGGACAGCTGCAAATGCTACTTGGGGAGGGGACACAGGGAGCAGACAGGACGCGGTCCCGTCCCCATCAGGCCCCTGCTCTGGCCTCTGCCCGGCTGGCTTGCCCAGGCTTTGCCCTCGCACAGGTTCCCGTCAGCACTCGCACTGGGGGACACGTTCCTTGGGTTTTTCCGTGTCTTCTGCCTGACGGGTGTTCCCTCTGATCAGGACGCGTGTCCTGCTCGTCAGTTGTCCTGCTGGGAGCCGTCTGGCTCTGGGTGATGTGAGGAGGGACTCATGGGAGCTGGGAGGAGTCCGAGTGCAGCTGCGGGGAAGCAGAGGCTGAGCCGGCCTTGAGGTCTCGCCCACCTGCGCCTCCCGTGGGGTGCTGAGCCTGAGCTTTGCAGCTGTCAGTGTGGGCTCACCTTCTGTGCCACTGCTGCCTCCAGCAGGGCTTAGGCCATGCCACGGCCTTTCTGCCTCCACTTCCTTTTCTGTAGAATGGGGTGAGAGCAGTGTCTGTCTCCTCATCCGTCCTCAGTGGCACTTGGGGTAGTGAGATTGGGATGAGCCTGCTGGCCCTGGCAGGTGCTGCTCAAACAGAAGCATCCCGGAGGCAGGGCCGGGGGTGTGGGTGCTGGGCAGAGACTGGGCACTTGCTCTGGAAGTGAATCTGGAGGCCTGTGCCACGTGGCTCTGCGGGTCACAGATCCGGCAAGGTCGGGGCCAGGTGGCCGCCCTGAATGGTGCCCATCGCTTTCAGGGCAGCAGGTGGCATGAGGCGTGGGAACATGGGCCACCTCACGCGGATTGCCAACGCGGTGGTGCAGAACCTGGAGCGGGGCCCTGTGCAGACACACATCAGCGAGGTCATCCGAGGTGAGCCCCCCACCTGGTCACCCTTCTGCCGGTTGCGGGTACCGGGGCCCTGAAGGAGCTGCCGCCTGAGGCTGTCCTCTGCCCGTCAGGAGGTGCTGACTACACTGACAGACTGTGCAGTCGTCTCTGTCCTCTCACCTTCCCACACCAGATCTCTTCCCGGGGCCCGGGTCTCGTGTCGGTTCTGTTGGCAGACATCTGTGGAGACCCTGCCAGGCGTCAGCGTGTGGCACAGGGGACTCAGTCCCTGCCGGGGGCAGTTGGTGGCTCTGGAGCTGATGTGCAGAAGCCATTAGGGCCAGGCTCCTTGCAGCTCATGGAGTCCTGCCTGGGTGCCGGCATTCTCGGCCATGTGCCAGCTTTACTCTGTACTCAGGTGGCTGGCGCGTCTCACACTGTCACTCTGGTGTGAGATGTGGTGGCACACGACTCAGGAGCAGGTAGCACCCTGCTTCTTTTTTTTTTTTTTTTTTTTTGAGACGGAATTTCACTCATGTTACCCAGGCTGGAGTGCAATGGCGCGATCTCGGCTCACTGCAACCTCCGCCTCCTGGGTTCAGGCAATTCTCCTGCCTCAGCCTCCTTAGTAGATGGGATTACAGGCAAGCACCACCATGCCCAGCTGATTTTTTGTATTTTTAGTAGAGACGGGGTTTCACCATGTTGACCAGGATGGTCTCGATCTCTTGACCTCGTGATCCACCCGCCTCGGCCTCCCAAAGTGCTGGGATTACAGGCTTGAGCCACCGCGCCCGGCCCATCACCCTGTTTCTTAAGAGCTCAGTGGGTTAGGTGGGTGCAGGGGCAGCACACGTGGCAGAGGCAGGCCCAGCCGTGGCCCCTCCTTTCTATACGGCGTAAGGCGAGGAAGTTCTGGATGCTCACCCCTGCACCCCAGGACCATAGAGTGAGGGGTTTCCTGGGTTGGGCTCCGTCAGCCCCTGGCGAGGTCAGGCCTGCTGGCCATCATCAAAACAGCTTCCCCACATCCTGGAGGGCAAAACGTTGGTGGAGGTACAGGCCAAGGACAGCTCCCCAGGGGGGGCAGTTTAGAGAGGCGAGGGGCAGGGAGGAAGCTCTTGGATCATCCCCCACAATCTCCGGATTGTGGATGAACCCTTCCAGGGCTCTGACCTGTAGGGCACGTTGGGAGCCCGATGTAGGGCTGAGTGCCCCACAGAGTCGTGGGGTGAGCCTTATGCTGTGCTGAGGCACAGGATCCGAGAAATAAAGAGATAGGACACAGAAATACAAGGAAAATGCAGCTGGGCTCGGGGGCCACGCCACCTATAAGCTGAGGCTGGCGAGCGACTGGCGAGGCCCCGAATGTCCAGAAGCATGAGTATTTATTGTGTATAGGTTAGGGGGCAGGGCAGTGAGTGAAATCATCTTTAAGAATAGTGATAGGGTCATGAGCAATAAAACAAGGGGTCCACCCCCATTAGGTCACCTAAGCCAGGAGGTGGACAACGCGTAGCAAGGGGCCTGTTCCCACGAACGCAAGGGCCGTGTGCAGTAAGGGGGTGCAGTGTGCGATACTTCTATCTATGGGCAAACTGCTTCTAAGAAGATTTATAGGAGGAAGCCTTAAGTCACACAGCAGTGACAGAGCTGTCAAGGTTACTGCCACCTTCTGGCAGCTTCCAGTGGGTTCTATGGGAAGATGCTTTTCGAGCAGCACAGTAGCAAGAGCTGATGAAGTTCACAGTCACCAAGGTGGATTGCCGGTCCGAGGGCACCTTCCACAAGAACGGGAGCAAGGTCCTACAACTCCTTCATCAGGAGGAGTGGCTCTCGCCCCAAGCCTGCCATACAGCAGGTATCTTTACGATACTGAACGCGGCTGCCTGGGCCATGGATTCTTGTCCTGGTATAACTGTATTCCCTTAAATCATGCTCTGCACTGTGTCTGCTCTAGGCATTTCTCCGATTATGAACTAAGATATAATTATAGGTATATATGTAGGGAAATATTTAGGCACTCATACTATCAACTATTATATGATTATATATAGAGGATTATATAAAGGGAGACATCAAGCCCTATTTCTATAAACTAATATATGATTATGTAAAGGATTATATAAAAGGAAACAGCTGAGTAGTAACACTATAAAGTGAGATATTCCTGAAGCCCTAACTGTGCCAGGGTTCCGCTTAGCTCTCATTCCTCGGTGCCTATATGGGGGGTTACCCACATGACCTCCCCAGAAAAACAGACACGAGACACGCCCAGGCCTGTGGGCTGCTGCTGAGTTTGGGCCTGTGAGGCAGGGTGAAGGAAGCTGGTTGCTTTCTCAGATTCTGTTCCACGGCTTCTGTGTTTCTGGGAGTTCCTCAGAGTGGGCTTCCACCCAACAGACTCGGAGCCCAGATGCCCACTGGTATCTCTGTAGGGCAGAAACACCCTGCTCACGGTTCCTGCACCTCAGTCTCGCTGTGGCCCCAGGCCCTTCTGGACACCAGCTGTGCTGCCTCCTTCCCATCCAGCAAGGCCCCCGCTTCAGGCCCCCAGATGGGCTGACCACAGTGGCACCGCCCCATCCTCCTGCACCCAGGACGCAGCTGCCAGAGCTCCTGGCCACCCTGCACCATCGGCACAGGGTCCCCGAGGGCTCACCAGGCAGCTCTTCCCCTGCAGGGCTCCCTGCGGATTGCCGAGGCCGCTGGGAGAGCTTCGTGGAGGAGACGCTGACGGAGACGAACCGCAGGAACACTGTGGACCTGGTGAGGGGGCTTGGGCACGGTGCTGGGATGCCGTCAGAGGCTTCTGCCTTTGCCCTGAGGCACAACGGCTGCACGCCTGCCTGCTCTAGCACAAGGGTACCCATGCCTACCCTGCAAGTGTGCATTCTGTCCTCTGGGCTGATGTCCGTAACACAGACCCTGTCCTGTGCCACACCCAGGGCTGGCTCTCTGAGGACCTCTGTGCAGAGCCAGTGTTGGCCCTGGGTTTCCCTCCCACTCCAGGAGCTGGGGCTTGTTGGCAGAGGGCTCCTTAGCCTGAGACCCACAACATGCCCCCTGCACATCGAGTTTGGGCTGCCATGGGGCCTTGGCCTCACCTGGGCACCTCCTTACACAGCACGGCCTCCTGGGCCCAGAGGTCTGATAAGGGCCATGCTGGGCGGGGTTTGGGAGCCCTGGGCTGGGCAGGGTCCTGGGCGCTGGGCTGGGCGGGGTCTGGGGTGCTGGGCTGGCTCACACGCCCATCCCATCTGGCCTGTGTTTTAGGTGAGCACTCACCACCTTCACTCCTCAAGTGAGGACGAGGACATTGAGGGTGCTTTCCCTAACGAGCTGTCCCTTCAGCAGGTGAGGGCGTGGCCGGCACCTGCACCCTGCCGGGCTTGGTCCTCCAGAGTTTCTGATGGCATCTCACTAGCAAAGGGGAGAGGGGGCTCGTATGGGGGTGGGTCTGAGGGGAGAACCCCAGAGTCACTTCACCTTGATGAGAGCACTGAAGACACAGCAGATGGACTCGAAAGTCAGAACATGGGGCGCATCTCAGATGTGACTGCAGTGAGCACACAGCCTGTTTTGGTAGAATTGTGAGCCCCGAAAAGTCAGAGTTTAGTGCCCACTTCTGCTGGAAGAGAAGCTCCTGAACAACTAAAGAGACTGTGGTTCCCAAAGAGCAGTCTCCAGGCCCAAGGCCTGCTTCATGACATGCGCCTGTCCCTCCCCCCCATCCCTCCCCCCATCCC